GGGAGGAGAAGGGGTGCACAAAGATAGTCAAAGGAGTGGCAGAGAGAGAGACTCAGGCAGAGATTGTCCAGTTGTTTGCTTCAGGAGCGGCGATGGTTATTTCTCTCCTTTTGTCCTTTTTACCACGCAGGAATGGTCACACACATTCATCTCCCCACAGCAAAGTCATGCCAATTGCTGAGTAAATCTCTCTCTCAAAAAGCAGCACCAAGTGCTAAGCCGTCGTTCCTATGCTCGCTCCTTTTCTTAAGGACTCCGAGAGTCTGAAGCATTCAGTGCCAACCATCTGATAAATCTGTTGTGTCACTTTCATTATTGCTTGCCGGTTTGCATTGTCCAAATTAGTACAAGTCCCATCCTTAGGGACATCCGTTAAAATTGGAACAGCACAGAGAATGAAGATTACCATGTCCACTGCAAAAAAAAGGATGACACATAAATCGAGAAATGGTCCAAAATTTTCAAAAACACAAAAAACAATAAGTCGCACAACACTCGCAACTGTCAAATCCATCTCCCTATAGTTAGGGCCTCGCCACACCACTCTCGAAATGTGAAAAAGACAAATGTGGCGGGTGCATCTGGCCATGTTCTAGCAGGAAGTTCATTCTCATTTTGCACATTTCGAGAGTGGTGTGGCGATGCCCTTAGTCCGCATTTCCCTGCAAAACTAGATGTTATTCGATTCAGCACTAACAAAAAGGACAGACCCAATGTCCCTTCTTCTGCTTCCCTTGCACCAACAAAAAGGACGACAACCATTTCTCTTCCCCTCCTTCCCTGGAAAAATACTCTCCCCTTCCCCCTTCCCACTGAAAATCCAGGTTTGACAACAAATCATGAAAATTCAAAAATGCCCTCTTCCATGTCCGAAGGACCTTACAGCAGTAGGGCATACAGTGGTAATAGTGTGCCCTCACCAGTGGATTGGGCCTGTAGCGGTATCCGAGCATCATCCGTTTCTTGTACTGCTCGTAGATGTCGTCCTCAGGTGTCACCTCACCAGGGTGCTGTGCTCCAACTCCAAGGTTGTTGAGTTTCACCGATCCTGCTTCCACGGGATCCGCACGGCCACCACCACTGCTACCAAGTCCCATACCTGCACAAGGCACACCAGATAGGGAGGAAGGGTGAGTACGGTTAAGCTCATCTCAGCTCACATTGGTAGTCCAAAAGTGATCAAGGGTGAATGCAATAAGCATCATACAAGACCAACTGGTCTAGCTCAGGTGGTACACCCATGAACTGTTGAAATACAGAGCCCAAGTTTGAATCCAGATGTTCCAGATGAACAGAATAATAATTCTGAATAACCTGGGGGCGATTATACCTCAAGAGCGCCCCCCTTTTAAAAACCCCCCCCCCCCCGCCCTTTTAAGAACGAAAAGGAGAAGCAAAAGTGAAGGACCAGACCAACAGAATAGTAATTCACAATAACTGGGGCCGGCAGTGCAATGAAGACAGGTCAAGACCGCCGTCCTTTTAAGAACGAAAAGGAGAAGGAAGAGTATAAGGAGAAAAAACTTCAAAAGAGACGGATGGACGACAACCCAGATTAAACATACAGCACGAGACCACCGATGCACGCCCAAATCGTTTCCTCTTGGGCTTAAACCCCTCTGTTTCATGATGAACCTGTGCATTGACTCGAGACTTTCCACATACTCTGGCAAATAGTACAAAAACTCAGATGCACACATGATTTCAACATAAGGATCGCATGTACCGCCAACCACACACAGAAAAGACTGCAGCTAAGTACTCAAGAGAGCAAGATTGCACAAAGGAAACCGATTCCTCCCCCTTCGTCACCAGTCCTCATCTCTTTTTTTCTCTTCGTCACCAATCCTCATCTCTTTTTTTCTCCACTCCACAGTCTTACTACCTCTGTCAGACGAAACACATGAGAACCAACATCAAAGAACTAATGGCTTGAAATCCAAAAGAGATCTTGTGACAGAGATCTAAGGCACCAGCCTACCTACTTCTCCCTTTTCCCTCAACCGGCCAGCAAAGTTGAAAATTGAAAGGGCCACTCCCTGCAGAGCTCTCTGTTCGACAATGGATCTCCCAAGGCCCCCAGTGATCTGGACATCTTCCTGTCAGAAGGCAAGCTAAGCGCCAGCCATTACAGGTACAGCTCTGCAGTCAAAATGGCCCTAGAGACATGCCATAACAGGGACAGTCTACCCTCAAAATGGCCCTAAGGACACACACTAACCCCTAGCCTATGGCAACCCTCTCTGTGGCAAGCACCACTGAGGGTGTTCATCCACCATAGCCAAACCCCTGTGAGTGTGCATCCACCATCGCCAAACACAACAGAGATGGCCAGGAGAGATCAGTGGTAGACACTGAGGTAGGACTTAGAGTGGGGTTGTGCATGCGGGAGAGTCAGTCAGGCTTGTGGGCTCGAGGGTCCCAACCTTAAGCAGGGAACGTCAACCAGTAGACCTCCAGATCTCCCTGAACCTAGCTGGCATCCAAACTCTTTCCTGAATCCCATTTGGGCAAGGCAAGATCTGGTGCCAATAGAGACTTCAAGACCTCCCTGAACATGGCTTGTGCCCAAATTCTTTCCCGATTGGGAAAACTTCCAGACTACTAGTCCTTTCCCATTTGGGCAAGGCAAGACCTGGTGCCCATAGAAGTTCATATGACTGGAAGCAGGCATCAGTACTGCTTCACTACATTATTCCCCCGAATACATCGTATGGTAATTATAGCTGTATTCGGCGTATCTTTTCGAAAATTTAACAGCGATCTCTTCGAACCCATTTTTCGGAGGTAACTTGAATACAAGGTACGTACCTTGTTTTCGGGTTAATACGGCAGTTATGTAATCAGACTCGTTCTCATTCACACTTTTCATGCATGTAAACAGCAGCGCAGCAAACTGGCGACATGCGCCCACTCAAAACTCAGAGATATGGCATCCAGATACGAGTTCACTTCCAATAGGCTATAGCGACTTAGCGCCCAAAGAACTCACTGTTCACACACACCGGATCCCCTGGATACCCCACACGCGTCACTCTGAACACTCGCACATACACACACACTTTACTCTTAACTACAGCTATGGCAGCTATGGCTGCATCTATCCTATAGCTATACTAAGCTCCTCCTCTCTCGCCCACTGCGTCCTCCGGGCTCACTGCAGACCTCCTTGCACAAAATCTGTGGCAGCGCTTCTGCATCGCTCACGCAGGAATGAATGAAAGGCTGGGCGCTGCCTCTTGATTTATACTTCGGAAACTCGTTGGTCTGCCCTTTGCCATCGGCCCATGGTGCTCACAGTCCCCCGTGGTACTTGCTGGACCGGACTGGGACTGACTGGACCTTACCGCTGACTGACTGTGGACTCACTGCTATCCTACCGAGGTCGTACTGCGATTGCACTGCAGTTTAGTCCACCACTTGACTCACCACTTGACCACTTGCCGACCTTCTAGAACGACTACAGCTAGACTTCTGGAACTCACTAAAACTTCTACTCTATAAATCTACAGATCGAACCCCTGCTACCTATGGACCTATGACAGACCTACCAACTGTCTACGAATACACAGGTCACAGGTTCAACTCTCGGGGCTACACAGATACTGTACATAGGTAGGGTGAAGTCCAGGGATCGAGCGTCTGTTACTGCAAAAGGTGAAAACCGTTTCAGTTAGCAAGGCGGTACTGATCAGCGGCTTATGAATGTTGGATTGATAATTAAATTATGCATATTCTGCACACACCCAGTTGAGAATTTTCCATGGTTGCCCCAGACCCCGACATCCAGACACCGACCCCGGACCCGTGTCTGGATTAATCTGGACGTCCAGTAATCCAGACACTGAACCGCACATACGGACCCAGACGGTCCGGTTATGAATGAACGAGTCCGGATGTCGGGACTTCAACAAAAAAGAAAAAAAAGAAAAAGACACGCTGCTGTAGTTGTATTACCTGACTTATCTTAAACACACTCACGTACACACACACTGTCACACACACACACACACACACACACACACAACCAGTTCTCCTTGGCCCGCTGAAGCTCACCCAAGATTGCAAGTACAGACCGTACCGGGCCGGTCCGGTTGGCCCAACAGTCAACCAAAAACAGCGCCAACAATCTTCTGGGGTCCACCAGGCACTGGAAAATCGTCTGGGGACCCCAAAACGTTTTCCAAATTTTCTAGAAATGGGGCTCAACCAGATCCCCCAAACCGGACACCGGATCCAGACATCCAGACCGGACCATCTGGATCCGCATTCATAAGGGGCCTTCTAGCCTGGGCTTGCGTCTTCCATCAGCCACAACACCAAGAATATTCAAACAATATGGACAAGGCACACAAAACTCTGCAAATCTGATTCGGGGACATACGCTAAACTCCTTCCATCCTATCTATCGAGTCTCTTGCTAATTCATCTCCTCACATTTTCCGTATACGAGTCTTTTACTGATTGGCTCTCCTCCTGCCTTCTCAATGCTTGTATGTTGCATCTCCTTGTCTGTTTGGCCTTCATCATCACTGCCATCCCTTTGAATGCTTGCTGGTTATTAGATGATCAGGCAGAGTTTCAATTTGGACATCAGCCTCAAAAACTTCTGCAATTCTGACAAGCCCTTGATGTGTGGAATGGGCCTCACCTGGGCCTGACTGATAAACCTGAGTCTGGCCAAGCAGCCAACTTTCCTGCCAACTGATTTGCCTCCATCCACTGCAAGGAGCCTTGGGACAGTGCCACTTGTCCATGTGAACTGGCACCTGGTGCCTGGACTGAAGTGACTGAGCTCCGAGCCTCCTAGCGTCTGCACTAGTGACCTTAGGCTGCGTCAGGGGCTGTGAATGCTATGGCACTGGGAAGGCCTCTCACACAAACACTGGAGTACTAGTGCAAGCATGAGGTAGGGAATCGCAAAGGCATTACCCAGGCTGCACTTTGCTGGCTGCAGGGATATCTGGAATGGCACCGATATACTACACCCGGCCTAGATTGTCCCTTCGGGCCTTGGGGAGGGGCCGAATGAGGCCGGGTGATCCCTGCCCTACCTGGTTTGGCGTCATCCCTTTCTGAAGGACACGGGTCAGCACGCAGGTAAATTGTTCCCCTTGCAAAGCCCACACAGTTTGGTCTACACAGGGACTTTTCAGACCCCTGATGCCACTAACCCTGGCCAGGAGCTGGAGCAGCCCCCTGCCCTTACACATCTCCCTTACACCATCAGTACACGAGCCAGTTACCCTGCACGCACCCACTGGTTTCTGCAGTGTCATGGAGCGGCTCGGCCCACCGCATGAGACTGATGGCACACAGTAGGGCCTTATCTGTGACAGTTTGGAAATTTATGGGCACAAGGGTACCTGTTAAGGCTTCGCTCGCAAGGGATTGAGGGGGAAATGGGAGAAATGAGTCCGGGTGGTGGGTTCCGTGGGTTTTGGGGTAGTGGTCGGGGGTGTTTTTAGACTCATGGTCCCGTGGCGGGTTGTGCCCTAACAGCTACGGCATCGTGTGTGCAGCACCTCCTGCTAATTGGGGAGGTTCTGCAACAGCTGGCTTTGGAAATCGGCATGCTATGTCTACCCCTACTGTCTTCCCCCGACTCTAGACTGAAATCCAGCGGCGTACCTTGGTTGGTATGGCACGCAAGTGGCATTCAATCCCCGTTGGCCTCATGTACCTTCCTGGGCAAGCTTGGCGCCAGGCACATAGAGAAAGACCGGAGGGGAGGCATGTCCTTTTTTCCCGAGCTGTGGAGGTGTGGCCGAGGAGCGGGGGGAGTGAAAAAGCGGGGGAAAAGAGCAGAGGAGGGCGGCAGGAGCAGAGAAGTCGTGGGGATTGAGCCGGGTAGTTAGTTTGGGGTCTCTCTCTCTCTCTCTCTCTCTCTCTCTCTCTCTCTCTCTCTCTCTTTCTCTCTCTGCTGCTCGCTGTTTTTCCGTGTTTTTCTTTTTTTAAAGATCTCCCGATGGTCCACGGATCCACGGATCAGATATCAAACTGACCGGAACAGATACTACACTTGATCGTCATCGTCGTCGTCGTTTTGGGAGCGGGAAAGTTAGTTAGTTCGGGGTGTCTCTCTCTCTCTGGTGTGCG